GCAAACCCAGTTCAGACAGATACTCATAAGTGTTTTAGTGATGGTTATTTTCTGTGGGTACTGTAGAGGGTGACACACAGCCACATATCGATCAACAGAAATTAAAACTAAATTACTAAGAGATGCTGAGACCAGAAATGAAATAAATAATATATATATTGCACAGAAAATGTCTCCAAAATACCAACACGTCTCAGTCAGTCTGATGGCCTCTACAGGCATGACTAGTCCAATAAACAGATCATTTACAGACAGAGAGAGAATAATCATGTTGGTTGGAGTGTGAAGCTTCTTGAAGTGAGAGATGGAGATGATCACCAGCAGGTTCAGAAACACAGTCCATGCTGACAGCAATGACACAAACCAATATGTGATATATCCATGTCTATAGCGTTTTCCTTTGACACATGATGAGTTGATGTCAGGAAAGCAGTATTGAGTCTCCTGATCCTCTGTCTCATAGGCCATGAGTGAGTCTCTTCCTGTTAGGAGTTTGTTCTGCTCTCCTTTCTGTCCTTTCATTTATACAGTGTTTGGATCAGTCAGACCAACCCATTTACCGCCCACTCTGATGTCATGCATAACAATCACTTTGATAAACAATGAGTTTTCTTCTGGCCAGGTTAGGATTTTCTGATTGTGTTTAAAGGTGCATTGACACGACATGACATGAAATGAGACGAACTCGCCTACAGAGGACAGATCCCGTCAACAGGCAACCATAATAGCTGCTGTTAATAAGCTGTAATAAAAAATTTTATTACTTTTTTCAGTGATTTTAAACTTATTTTAAGCGATCTGAAGGCAAAGCAAGGTTTACAAAAGCTGGAAATATATTTATACTGTCTATAAAATCACTCTTTAGTAAGATATGTCATACTCTTAGTTTTTTGACATGAGTTTAGATATCCAAGTAAAATAAAACCTAAATCATACATTTAATCTGGAGTTTTCTTTTAAAAGCCTCCTGTCCTGTTTGAGGCCTCGAAGGATCCACCAGGTCTGTCCTTCATCACCTGAGAAACGAAGGACGCATTTGAAGGAGCCTTCAAATAATTATTATTTTTTTAAAGGAGGCAGTCTCCGTTACGCCGCGATAACACAGCACACTTCAAATGCATCCTTTGGAGGATGCAACCTCTGAAGTGAGACACAGCTAATACGTTTTTTCAAAAACTTCAAAGCGCTGAAGACTTTTCTTTTTCTTCTTAGATAGTTTAGAGATTGTGGGTTTTCAGTTTGAATTGTGTTTTGTTATATTAATATTTTTGGCGCTTCTTTTGTTCCTCTTTCCCTTTATTACAACCATTTATTCTATTAGGTTTTCTTTATTTTGTATTTACTTCATCATCATTTACTCACCTTGTAATATAAATACTATTATTGGAGCATAAGTGGTTGTTTGTCTGCTCCACTGCCTCCACCATTCTCAAAGGGGTCATGAAATGGTTAAATGTTGCTGTAACCCTACCGTTTCCATCTTAAATAACCCTAACACTAATAATTCTCATAAACTGACTTTCAAAACAAAACATTCAGCAGTTTGTGCCATCCCCATCCCATAAATCATGTTCACTAAGAGATGAGTTATTTTTACTGCATCATATATCTGGTAATTCATTAATTTATTAGTTGTGTGCACAGGTTAAACTGTGTTCATACAGATCATTTACTGAATTGAGCCATTTAAGTTATATACTTTTTTAATAGGCCTAACACAAATATCAATCTTACAGATTTTTATTACAATGTGGTCATTATTACTGATTACAACACATGGTCTGCCATGACTGCAGCAAAACTACGAAAGCTCTAACCCTGTCTGCTCTGTGTTGAAGTCTACCCTGCACAGTGCTTGACTAATCTCATTGACCTCCATCTGTAACCATTATTCAAGATAATCACACCTATATTTCACTCGTATAGGAGTAAATCCATTATTGATTTTCAAAGGAGACGTTTGTGCATTATGCAAGCTTTAAATGGCAAGTCAAGCCTTAAAACCGGCCACATATTGACCTTATTCTCCGCAGACGAGCGGGCGCTGCCATTTGAATCTTTTTGGCACGAGACTTCCGGTCTCATTCACTTCTATTCATTTTTAGACATTAAAAACTGCTCGTTTCGCTGTTTGATGTTGTAAACTGGTATTTCCTTGTTATATTATTCTACTTGGTCTGTATAGTCATGCAAACATTTGTTTGTAGAGCAAGTAGTTTGACCGTTTTTTGCCGTTTATTATTCCTTGTCATTTCTCCCATAGGCGACTGAAACGGAAGTTCTAAGACAATCGCGAAAACAGGCGCACTTCCGCATTTTAGAATAAGGTCAATACAGGACTGAATTACGTGCCTCATTAATAAAACATAATGTTACCTATGCATTAGTGTTAATTTCGTTGTTGTCATAATTTTCAAACAAGTTTCTACGGATGAAAATGTGATGTGATGATGACGACAACTTTAGTAAAAATATACTAACATAATAAGACAAGAATATGAGCGAGGAACGTTTTTTTTTGCTAAATATCCAATCAGAACTAATCTTGGTGGGTGATGCAGGACGCACACACGCAAAAAACTGTACACTTTGTGACCTATATTAGATAGCTCGTTCACTAAATCTAAGCAAAAATAAACCTCCACCATTAAAGGTAAATTATTATTATTACTTGTTTTATTATTGTCAAATGAAATATGAATATATACGTGTTTATTTTAAAAACAGTTTTACGTACAAACACAATAGTGATTCAAATATTGTTGTGCAAATGTGTTGGTTAATTTGTAGACATGTCTGTCTATGAATTAGGATAGAAATTCCGGCTTAGAGTAATCTTGTCTTTCTGTGCCTGTTTTAAGGTCAACTGACTTTATTTAGGTTCATATTTATTGGGCTTGCAAGAAAAACACAGTCTGCTCATTGTTAAGGGGTGGTGTGCATTGTATTTAGTAAATATTACAAATAACTCCATGTTTGATCTGTCTCAGGTCCTACAGTGACATTATCAGATTGTTTCACACTGTACATTACATTTAACATAAATAAAACCAACAAATAAGTAAATAAATAAGGTTATACATATAAGGTTTTACTCCCTACATATCATGACACTCTCACTTCATCATATGTTTACAAGCCTTTTTGCACTATATACTGTTCTATATCTGCACAACTCAACAAAGGTAATGTTATATGCTGAGAAGCAAGCCCAGCTCAGACAGATACTCATTAATGTTTTAGTGATGTTTATTTTCTGTGGATACAGTAAAGGGTGACACACAGCCACATATCGATCAAGAGCAATTAAAACAAAATTACTAAGAGATGCTGAAAGAAGTACCGCAATATATAATAAATAGAGTGAACAGAAAGTGTCTCCAAAGTACCAACATGTCTCTGTCAGTCTGATGGCCTCTACAGGCATGATGAATCCAACAAGCAGAATCGAGCCGAGACCACCTCATTCAAGCAATCTCGGAGCGGTTGATTTGGCGCGGATCCTAGCACGATTGCTGGTTTCACATATACCAAATTAACTGCGTTAACTGGGCAAACGAGACAAAATCTAAAACAAAAGTGTGGATGTGAAAGCACCCTTGAAGCATCTTTTTCATCATCTTTATTAATATTAAAGACACCAACAATAAAAGTTTATCTGTGGCCAGAACTATTTCGGATAACAAATCAGGGAATTACTTTGCAAAGTCCGTATGGTGCCCTGGAGGTCTATATACAGTTGCCAGTATAAATTTAGATTGAAATGTATTGTTTAAATTATGTAAATTAAACTATGTGCTGCAAATTATCTGAGTAAGGTAAATTGTGAAGGCTAGCAAACAGTTAAACCAATCTGTCTGCTCCCTGATCTGGGCCCAAGTTAGTCAAGTGCCAAAACTAAGACTATATGCCAGATTACTGGAGGGGAGAGCTGCTCCAGCCTGGGTGGGATGAAGACCATCTCTCTATAACAGGTCAGGTCTACCCCAAAAACTCGGCCAATTGTTTATAAAAACCTGTTATTTAGTGGCCACCACTTGGACATCCAGCCATTGAGTGATGAGGATCGGCTGTGGGACTCATCACTATGACAAGCCAGCAGGAGACCAGAACATATTACAATGTCTGACATCGTTTTTGCAAGATCACACACCTCTTTAACATTACTTCTAGTGATCTCTGACATTACAGATAGTGTACACTTATGCACCTGCAATGTCAATGCAATTTTATTTTCTTATCAGGGGAAAATTTTAACACCAAGTTTGCATCATTATAGTAAAGGCCCCTGGTTCTCTCGTCCTTCACTGTCATCAGCTCTGCTTTTTCTTCTGGAGCTCTTCTGTTGGGCTGGAAACCGGTGTGCTGCACAGGTCACTATTATTATCACTCACACCACTGACCTTATTAAAATAACACCACTGTCAGACACACAACACTCATTTCAAATTCTTATTCAACTAACTACATATATTTATCATTAGATATATGAGCAGGTCTTTAGTGATCATGCAGAGAATTAAACTTATATTGGTTTAATATCACCATTTCAACACATTCAACATTCAGTTTCTGGACACAGAATGAGCATGTGTCAAGTTTATTATGAGTCAGGAGGTTTTTATTTGCAGTGTTTGTATATCAATAATCTGTGCACTTGCAAACACATAGATTGTATGGCAGATAAAGATATTATGAATATTACTGTAATGTCATATAGAAATATTAAGCACAAAGCAAGGTGGGTCATATAATCTCAGCAAACTATGCCTAATTTAAGTAAATGTGACGCAATTACTCTGTTGGTTACTTAAGTGACATCTTTTTCTTTGTATTACTAGTAGTATGTATGTTATTTATATGTCAAACATAAATAAACATATATGTGTGTGTGTGTGTGTGTGTGTGTGTGTGTGTGTGTGTGTGTGTGTGTGTGTGTGTGTGTGTGTATGAATGAGTTTCATGCAACGCAATGAAAATTAAAAATAGAAATCAAAGACTAACATATCTACCTTTATTAGTAAAGCTTTACAAGTAATTATAATTAATGTTGTGTTAAAATATTGATCAAAGAGGATGCTGATTGAAATATTTTCAGAGTTAAAATTAATTTAGCTGTCCTTTTAAACCAGGGGTAAAATAAAGCATAAACCAGAGGATTCAGACCTGAGTTAGCATACAAGAGCAATAACAAAACATTTATGGTTGTAGAAGAGATTACAGTTAGAACATACAAATAGTACGGAATGTAGCAAAACATGTAAACTGTCACAATGATTCCTAGAGTCAGAGCAGCTTTACTCTCAGATTTTCTCTTCACTAAACCCTCCGTTACACATTTACCACCCTTCATCAGAGAGTTTATAACCTTCACTTGCTGATGAACGACATAGAAAATCCTCAAATATAAAGTGATGATCATCAAACAAGGAAAAATAAAAGACATGAACAGATCAGTGACTGTCCAACTTAAACTCATCATGACTGAACACTGTCCATAACACACATCTGTTCTGTGTGAAAAGTCAAAATATCCATTATAAATTACAAAGGCAGTGATATAAGCCGAGAGGCAAACCCAGCTCAGACAGATACTCATAAGTGTTTTAGAGATGGTTATTTTCTGTGGGTACTGTAAAGGGTGACACACAGCCACATAACGATCAACAGCAATTAAAACCAAATTACTAAGAGATGCAGAGACCAGAAATGAAACAAATAATACATGTATTGCACAGAAAGTGTCCCCAAAATACCAGCATGTCTCAATCAGTCTGATGGCCTCTACAGGCATGACGAGTCCAATAAACAAATCGTTTACAGCCAGAGAGAGAATAATCATGTTGGTTGGAGTGTGAAGCTTCTTGAAGTGAGAGATGGAGATGATCACCAGCAGGTTCAGAAACACAGTCCATGCTGACAGCAACGACACAAACACATATATGATAATATATCCATGACTGGAGCGTTTTCCTTTGACACATGATGAGTTGTTGTCAGGAAAGCAGAATTGAGTCTCCATGATCCTCTGTCTCATAGGCCATGAGTGAGTCTCCTCCTGTTAGGAGTTTGTTCTGCTCTTCTTTCTGTCCTTTCATTTATACAGTGTCTGGATCAGACTGACCAACCCATTTACCGCCCACTCTGATGTAATGTGTAATATTTTTTTCTTCTTTTATGGAACAATCGCTTTGATAAACAATCAGTTTTTTTTTTTTTTTTTTGGCCAGGTTAGGATTTTCCGATTCTGTTTAAAGGTGCATTTCAGCTCAAAAGTTTGTTTTTCCCATGTTGTTATTTTCACATGAATAAACTACACATGTGGAACTCAGCTGAGGTGCTAGAATTTCAAAAGTATTTTTAAAGTAAGTTTAGGAGCTGAAGAAAAGCTACCGTAGGATGTATATTCAGCTTTTTTTTTTTATTTGTATAGCGCTTTTACAATGTAGATTGTGTCAAAGCAGCTTCACATAAATGGTCATAGTAACTGGAACAGTGTGGTTCAGGTTTTAGTGTTTAAGTTCAGTTCTGTTCAGTTTAGCTCAGTTCAGTGTGATTTAACCATTACTGAGAGTTCAAACACTGATTATACAACAAAACACATGTTTATAGTTCAAACATATGTTATGTTGTAGTACATAAACAGCCACTTCAGACAACTAAAGGATAAGTTGTTCATTAAAAATGGTTGAAAACTGTAAACTAGCTCATTCTGCATATTGTATAAATGTGTGTATTGTAGCTTATATACTGCAGTGTGCGTGTACGTAATACAATCATATATTAAAACATAATAGACAAGTTTCCATGACAAATTTATGCTGTCAGTTTTTTCTAGAGCAGCTTTTACCATCACATGGCTATTTTTCCATGAATTTCTAGATTCATCGCATAATCATAAGTTTTTTTTTAAACTTTATTCCTAATTGTTACGGCCCAGTGTTTGTGCCTGTTTTGTTCTCTCTCTCTCTTTAGTTGTCATTCCTTAGGCCTGTCCAGTTTCAGCTTCCCATTGGTTGAGTAAAATGTCAATCATCGTTACTACTTCAATAACGTCATCAATGCCCAATCAGATGCGGAATTCCTTATTTAAAAGGATGCAGGCATGGAGGAACGGAAGACTGCCTTTGCCTGCTCACTGTTGTGTGTTTTGCTGGGTTGTTTAAACCATAAAACAGATTTCAGTCTTTAATATAGTGTGGTCATTATTGATTACACAACATGGTCTGCCATGACTGCAGCAAACTACAATAGCACACCCTGCACTGTGCTTGGCTAATCTCATTGACCTTCGTCTTCAAATGTCATTAAAGTAATCACACCTATTGTACTTGTATCGGAGTCAATCCATTATTGATTTTCAAGGGAGACGTTTGTGCATTACGCAAGCTTTAAATGGCAAGTCAAGCCTTAGACCGGCCACATATACAAGACTGAATTCCGTGCCTCATTAGTAAAACAATATGCATCAGTGTTAATTTCATTGGCGTCTTAATTTTCATGACAAACAAGTTTCCATCGACAGAAACTTAATAAAATTAAATGATGAAGAGGACAACTATATTAAAAATATACTGACATCATGAGACAGGAATTTGAGCGAGGGACGATTTTTGCTAAATATCCAATCAGAACTAATCGTGGTAGGTGATGCATGACGCACACGCACATTTGTAAAGTAACTGATCCACCAGTAGACACTAAATGCAATTTAATTATCATCTATAACTGTGTCTGTCTGATTAAACTATAATGAGATGTCAACAGCAGAGAGAAAAAGAAGATTTATGTTTGATGTCAAGACAAAAGACCACAAACCGTAAGGGGCACATAATAAATAATAATCTAAAGCGACATCAGCATGCCAGGGAATCATCCCGAAATTCAGTAAAGATATACTCTGATCTTTTTTTAGTTACTTGAGTGTGTGCTTTTGCTTAACTGAAACAGCATAGCCTCTCGCTGACCTTTAGAGAATTTACTCAGTCAGACTGTACATTAAAAGTTATTAAATCTGTCGGTCTTAAATTGATATGATCATGGGATTCATTTTGCTGAGGAGTTGTTTCCTCACGTTCATTTTAGCTGTGGCTACAGTTTAGCTAACCCTGATCTAACTTGCAATAGGTTCACATGCTGTCTGTGTCTGCTATCATCATGACAACAGCCATTTACAGTGCTCCTCTACCACAGAACAAAAACTGCTTAATTCAGCGACGTGATTATTTCTTACATCTAAGGATGTGATGATACTGTAGTGCTGTAATCTCCTCTGATCAGGGAGTAGCATACAACATAACCAATCTGCCTTGAAGTGAAGCACACTTCTATTTTTGACGTACATCTTCAATTTAGAACTCAGCCAAAGGACTGAGTGCACATATTAATAGATAACACATTATCATTTGTCAAACACATTTCATTAGTCAACTTATTTACTCAGTGATATACAGCTGAGCATCTGCATGTGGAATATAGCAAAGTCAGAGCAGCTTTACTCTCAGATTTCCTCTTCACTGAACCCTGTTACACATTTACCACCCTTCATCAGAGAGTTTATAACCTTCACTTGCTGATGAACGACATAGAAAATCCTCAAATATAAAGTGATATAAAGTGATGATCAGAAAACAAAAAAAAAATGCATGAAATTATCAGTGTTTATATATCAATAATCCATGCACTTGCAAACACATGGATTTTGTGGCAGATATTGATATTATGAATATTACTGTAATGGCATAGAAATATTAAATTACAAAGCAATGTGGGCCATACTGTATAACCCCCCCCCCCTCCCATACAATAGCTAATTTAAATAAATATTTAGCAAATTTTACATGCAATTACTTGACTGGTTACCCAAGTTATATCTTTTCCTTGTATTAACAGCACTATGTATGCTATTTAAATGTCAAACATGTATATTTGAATGAACTTCATGCAACATACTAAAAATACAAATAGAAATCAAAAACTAACATATCTACTTTTATTAGTAAAGCTTTACAAGTAAGTATGATAATGTTGTGTAAAAAATGATCAGAGATGATGCTGATTGAATATTTTCAGAGTTAAAATGAGTTTAGCTGACTTTTTAAACCAGGGGTAAAATAAAGCATAAATCAGAGGATTCAGACCTGAGTTAGCATATACAAGTAATAACAAAACATTTATAGTTGTGGAGGAGATTACAGTTAGAGAACAGATATAGTAAGGAATCTAGCAAAGCAGATACACAGTCACAATGATTCCTAAAGTCAGAGCAGCTTTACTCTCAGATTTCCTCTTCATTGAACTCTTCATTACACATTTACCACCCTTCATCAGAGAGTTTATAACCTTCACTTGCTGATGAACGACATAGAAAATCCTCAAATATAAACTGATGATCAGGACACAGGGAAAAATAAAAGACACAAAAAGATCAGTGAGTATCCAACTAAAACTCATCATGACTGAACACTGTCCATAACACACATCTGTTCTGTGTGAAGAGTCAAAATATCCAATATTATTTACAAAGGTAATGATATATGCTGAGTAGCAAACCCAGTTCAGACAGATACTCATTAAAGTTTTAGTGATGGTTATTTTCTGTGGATACTGTAAAGGGTGACACACAGCCACATAACGATCAACAGAAATAAAAACTAAATTACTAAGAGATGCTGAGACCAGAAGTGAAATGAATAACATATATATTGCACAGAATGTGTCTCCAAAATACCAGCATGTCTCAGTCAGTCTGATGGCCTCTAAGGGCATGATGAGTCCAATAAACAGATCATTTACAGACAGAGAGAGAATAATCATGTTGGTTGGAGTGTGAAGCTTCTTGAAGTAAAAGATGGAGATGATCACCAGCAGGTTTAGAAACACAGTCCATGCTGACAGCAATGACACAAACAAATATGTGATATATCCATGTCTGAAGCGTTTCCCTTTGACGCATGATGAGTTGATGTCAGGAAAGCAGTATTGAGTCTCCTGATCCTCTGTCTCGTAGGCCATGAGTGAGTCTCCTCCTGTTAGGAGTTTGTTCTGCTCTCCTTTCTGTCTTTTCATTTGTACAGTGTCTGCATCAGACTGGCCAACCCATTTACCGCCCACCCTGATGTCATGCATAACATTTTTTTTTTCTTTCTAAAACAATCGCTTTGATAAACAATCTTTTTTTTTCTGCCCAGGTTACGACATTCTGATTGTGTTTTAAGGTGCATTGACACGACCTGACATGAAATGAGGCATGCCTACAGAAGACAGATCTCGACAACAGGCAACCATAATAGCTGCTGTTAATAAGCTGTAATTAAAAAATGTATTACTTTTTTTAGTGATTTTAAACTTATTTTAAGCGATCTGAAGGCAAAGCAAGGTTTACAAAAGCTGGAAATATATGTATACTGTCTATAAAATCACTCTTATTTAGACATGTCATACTCTTAGTTTTTTGACATGTGTTTAGATATCCAAGTAAAATAAAACCTAATTCATACATTTCATCTGGAGTTTTCTTTTAAAAGCCTACTGCCGTATCAGCGAGCAATAAACCTTGGTATGTTTGAGGTTGCGAAGGATCCACCGGTTCTGACCTTCATTACCTGGGAAACGAAGGATGCATTTGAAGGAGCCTTCAAGTTATTAAAAATGAGGCAGTCTCCGTTACGCCGCGATAACACAGCACACATTGAATGCATCCTTTGGAGGATGCAACCTCTGAAGTGAGACACAGCTAATACGTTTTTTCAAAATCTTCAAAGCGCTGAAGACTTTTCTTTTTCTTCCTAGATAGTTTAGAGATTGTGGGTTTTCAGTTAGTCAGTTGCGTTTTGTTATTATAATATTTTTGGCGCTTCTTTTGTTCCTCTTCCCCTTCATCACAACCATTTTTTCTATTCAGTTTTCTTTATTTTGTATTTACTTCATCATTTACTCACCTTGTAATATAAATACTATTATTGGGGCATAAATGGTTGTTTGTCTGCTCCACCACCACCACCATTCTCAAATCTAATGAATGTCGCTGTAACCCAAGCGTTTCCATCTTAAATAACCCTAACACTAATAATTCTCATA